CAGTTCTATATTAGGAAGCCACCTTATTAATCTCATTTTTCATAAGAATCATGGGCTGTTTAATAAATATTTGTTGTAATTTAAGTTTCATGAGAGTGCACGAAACAGTGATCTTGCTGAGTATAAAATTTGTTATCATCTGTAATATATAGGCGAAGATTGATTATATCAGGATCCTTAGTACCCAAAAGATTGTAGGGTTTCTGGGTAATCATTACAATTGTCTAGTGGTTAGAGTAATTTCAGTTATTAATCTGAGTTGTTCATTTTGTTCTCAGATACAAAGGCTTGGGAAGTGGACACACTGAGAGGGCACATGAATAATGTTTCATGTGTTATGTTTCATGCCAAACAGGACATTATTGTATCTAACTCGGAAGACAAAAGTATCCGTGTTTGGGACGTAACGAAGCGAACTGGAATTCAAACTTTCCGACGAGAGCATGACCGTTTTTGGATTCTTTCATCTCACCCTGAAATGAATCTGTTGGCTGCAGGTCATGACAGTGGCATGATCGTATTTAAGTTAGAGAGGGAACGTCCAGCCTTTGCAGTGAGTGGTGATTCTCTGTTCTATGCTAAAGATCGCTTCTTGCGGTACTATGAGTTTTCAACCCAAAGGGACACACAAGTTATTCCAATTCGACGCCCTGGTTCCACCACTTTAAATCAAAGTCCGAGGACTCTTTCTTACAATCCTTCAGAAAATGCAGTTCTTATTTGCTCAGACTTGGACGGGGGATCTTATGAATTGTATTTGATACCCAAGGACAGCATTAGTAGGGGTGACAGTATGCAAGATGCAAAGAGAGGTGTTGGAGGTTCAGCTGTGTTTATGGCACGAAATAGGTTTGCTGTGCTTGACAAAAGCAACAACCAAGTCTTGATTAAGAATTTGAAAAATGAGGTTGTTAAAAGGAGTGGTATTCCTTTTGCTGTTGATGCAATATTCTATGCCGGAACAGGTAATTTGCTGTGTAGGGCAGAGGACAGAGTGTCTATATTTGACCTCCAGCAGAGGATTGTTCTTGGTGAGCTTCAAACCCCCTTCATCAAGTATGTTGTTTGGTCCAATGACATGGAAAGTGTTGCCTTGCTCAGCAAACATGCCATTATTATTGCTAGCAAGAGGCTTGTGCACCAGTGCACTCTTCATGAGACAATCCGTGTAAAGAGTGGTGGCTGGGATGACAATGGTGTTTTCATTTACACGACTCTAAATCACATAAAATATTGTCTCCCTAATGGAGATAGTGGGATAATCAGAACCCTAGATGTTCCTATATACATTACGAAGGTTTCTGGAAATACCATCTTTTGCTTGGATCGGGATGGGAAAAACAGAGCCATAGTTATTGATGCCACCGAATACATTTTCAAGTTATCCCTGTTTAAGAAGAGATATGACCATGTTATGAGCATGATAAGGAGCTCACAGCTCTGTGGGCAGGCAATGATTGCTTATCTGCAACAGAAGGGGTTCCCCGAAGTTGCTCTCCATTTTGTGAAAGATGAAAGAACTAGATTCAATCTGGCCCTAGAGAGTGGAAATATTCAAATTGCAGTGGCATCCGCTACAGCAATTGATGAAAAAGATTACTGGTATAGGTTGGGGGTGGAGGCTCTTCGTCAGGGCAATGCAGGTATTGTGGAGTATGCCTACCAGAAGACTAAAAATTTTGAGAGGCTATCTTTCCTTTATCTCGTAACTGGTAATATGGAAAAGCTGTCAAAGATGCTGAAAATTGCTGAGGTTAAGAATGATGTCATGGGTCAGTTCCACAATGCACTGTATCTAGGCAATGTCCAGGAGCGTATTAAGATCTTGGAGAATGTCGGCCACTTACCCCTTGCTTACATCACAGCTTCAGTTCATGGCCTACATGATGTTGCTGAACGGCTATCTGCTGAGTTGGGAGAAAATGTTCCAACCTTGCCGCAGGGGAAAGTACCCACTCTTTTGATGCCCCCAACGCCAGTTATGTGTGGTGGTGATTGGCCTCTTCTTAGAGTCATGAGAGGTATATTTGAAGGTGGGTTGGATAATATTGGCAGGGGAGCTGCAGATGAAGAGGATGAGGCTGCTGATGGTGACTGGGGTGAGGAGCTGGACATGGTTGATGTTGATGGCTTGCAAAATGGAGATGTCACTGCTGTATTGGAAGATGAGGTAGTGGCTGAAGGAAATGAGGAAGAGGGAGGATGGGACCTTGAAGATTTGGAGCTCCCCCCTGAAGCAGACACACCAAGGGCTTCTGTTAATTCTAATTCATCAGTTTTTGTTGCTCCAACTATTGGCATGCCTGTAAGCCAGATTTGGATCCAGAGATCTTCTCTTGCTGCTGAACATGCAGCAGCAGGAAATTTTGATACTGCAATGCGCTTGCTGAACAGGCAGCTTGGAATCAAAAACTTTGCTCCCTTGAGACCCATGTTTCTTGATCTCCACACTGGCAGCCACAGCTATCTACGTGCATTTTCATCTACTCCAGTGATATCACTTGCCATTGAGCGTGGGTGGAATGAATCTGCTACCCCGAATGTGAGAGGCCCGCCAGCACTTGTGTTCAATTTCTCTCAGTTGGAAGAGAAACTCAAAGCTGGTTACAAGGCTACAACAGCTGGGAAGTTAACTGAAGCTCTTAGGCTCTTCCTTAGCATTCTTCACACAATTCCTTTGATTGTTGTTGATTCAAGGAGGGAAGTTGATGAAGTTAAGGAGTTAATTATAATAGTCAGAGAGTATGTTCTGGGATTGCAAATGGAGCTGAAGAGAAGGGAAATTAAAGATAATCCAGTACGTGAACAGGAGCTTGCAGCTTATTTCACACACTGCAATCTTCAAACGCCTCATGTAAGACTTGCATTGGTTAATGCAGCGAGAATTTGCTTCAAGGCAAAGAACTTTGCCACTGCAGCTAACTTTGCCAGGCGGCTATTGGATACCAACCCCACCATTGAGATTCAAGCAAAGACAGCCAGGCAAGTGCTGCAGGGAGCAGAGAGGAATATGACTGATGCCTCTCAACTGAACTATGATTTTAGAAACCCATTTGTGACTTGTGGGGCAACATATGTACCAATTTATCGAGGACAGAAGGATGTCTCTTGCCCGTACTGTAGCTCACGGTTTGTGCCAACCCAAGAAGGGCAGCTCTGTACTGTTTGTGATCTTGCAGTGGTTGGGGCAGATGCTTCAGGGTTGCTATGTTCTCCTACTCAGGTTCGATAGTCAAGCTGCTACTAGTTGGATTCATCCTTTTGGCTGAAGAAGCGTTTATGTTGATTGGTTTATACCTGCCAGTTAATTGGTAAGAAATGCTGCAGAAGATTTAACTTTCAAATGAATTGTTTGTGATGTCTCCTTTTCTTGGTTGTCTCCTTTTTCTCCGTCTTTCTTGTCTCTTGGATCTGTTGAGTCTATGGATTCAAAATCGTTTGTGAAAATACATTATGATTTTTATTTTCGGCTGCGGCACCAGAGCAGTCATTCTCATCTGTAGCAATGTGTTTTTTGTTTTCTGAAAGTCATGAAGATGAATGTATAACTGTTTTCTTTGATAACAATGATGCTAATGGTTATTGGGACATGGAAATGTTCTATTTCATGCTTGTACATCTTTATTGTATCTGTTTCACGCATGGGTAAATTCGATTGTGTTACAATTTTTATATTTACTAGGTTATCCCACTCTAAGTTCTAAGGGCTTGGCAGATAATGTCCTTGAACTCTTTTTCTTTTGGTGTTTCATTTTTAGTTTGCTTCTTAGTTTCGATTTGTTTATCTGATTGGCTTTCTATTATCATCTTGCTTGGATGCTCTCTTTCTTCGTTTTGCTTCTTCTCTGGGTTTCGATGTTTTTGACATGTAGATAATAAATAGCTAATAAGAGGGTCACGGACTAGTTCATGGATATTGTTTTTCAGCTTATCACAGTGGAACCTATATGGAGCTGTTAAACTAATAACTTGAACATGTAATTGCGGAGGTGGTCTTGTCACACTTTTTTCTTCTTCTTTTCTTTGTTAGTTATTCTATACTGTTTTGTGGGTTTGGTTTTGTATTCACTGTTATAATCAGCTGTGTGGTCTTGTGGTTCTGTTCTGTTGTGCTTTTCAGTTTCTTGTGCATTTGTGTTAGTTTTCTTGTAGAGTAGATGTAGTAGAGTACAATTCTTTTCTGCACGTCCGAGGTTTTTTGTGTGTTCCATATCATAAAGTTGTTGCACTTGTGTTGTAGTTGTAGTTCAACGTGTATTCTATGTGCAATTTTCACTCTTGACATTGTTCTCTTGCAAAACCATTTTATTTTTAAATTTTACCCTTAGCCATTTCATAATACCAAATGAGACTGGTCTTTCTTCGAAGTTGAACGTACACTTTAACTATGTGCCTTCTATTTTTTGTTTTGTAGACAACTATGAGCTTTGAGAAGGGAAGGGGGAGGACAAATGTTCTGTTTTTGGCAACTATGTTGCTATTTTTGTTTTTGTTTTTTTTTCAGACGCAGGCAATGGTGTATTACTCCTAGTGAACATTTGGAATCTAGTTTGAGCAAATTTTTTCATTGAGATGGTGTTATGTAATATTAAGCAGAGTATACGCTCAGAATTTTTAATCGTATAGTTATTTTTAAATGGCCATGATGAGAGTTTGTTGTTCTTGTAAGTTAATCATACTTGAAAGATTAGTTCTAGCCAAGCCTTATGTATAAGCAATTGATCTCGGATTAGTTCCAGGGTTAAAGTGTTTCAACTGTTCTTGATCGTAGACCCCAAAGAGAGATCGAAATGCTGATGGTAAGGAAATTGGTGTTTACTTTTATTAATTTAATTTGTCACCATGCCCCTTTTATTTATTGTTAATACAGAAATCATTGTTCCAAAATACAGAAATCATTTTATTCAATTTTCACTGATGGGTACATTTATTTAGGCCACTCCCTCTGAATAATTTTTTAGGGAATTTAACATATCAATTGCAAATGGATGGGTGTCTATTTAGTATAGGCGGTAGATTGGCATGACAAGCAAGCGTTTGGTCTTTGACAGCGATAAGCCGAATGTCTCAGTCATGTCCACATCTTCGGGTTTCAGGCCACTTGGGAGGTCCCAGTTAAAGCAGTGGACCAAGTTTGCCAGAGCCAGCCGGACTGTGGTTAGCCCTAATTGCATAGCAGGGCACCCTCTTCGACCAGACCCAAATGGTAGGAGCTCGAAGTCATGCCCTCGAAGGTCAATATTGCCATCAATGAACCGTTCGGGGTAAAATTCTTCCACATTTTCTGACCAGACATTAGGATCTCTCCCAATAGCCCAAACGTTTATAAAGATTGTCGATTTCTTGGGTATGTCATGTCCTTCAACTGTAATGTCCTCCATGGATGCATGTGTGATGAGCAATGGTGCAACTGGGTGTAACCTAAAGCTCTCCTTGAGCACCATGTTCAAGTAACCCAACTTTGGCAAATCACTCTCTTCCACCATTCGGTCCGTTCCAATCACACTCTGGAGCTCTTGCTGGAGATGCTTCATTACCCTCGGATGCCTCAGGAGTTCAGCGAGGGTCCAAACTATGGCGGTAGCTGACGTATCGAAGGCACCCGAAATCATGTCTAGTAAGATGGCCTTCACATTTGTGCGGTCAATCATGTAGACTTGCTCATCGTTGGGATTCAATGGTTGGTGCATTAACGAAAGCATCACGTCCACAAAGTCCTTGTGATGATGGCCTTGGTGTGCTTGCCCACTCTGGGAAACTTGTTGGTGTTCCCCAATTATCTTCTCTAAGAGTTGGTCGATTGTCTTGCTAAGTCTCTTCATGCGCTTGGTCAATCCCTATATTATATTAAGAGGAAGATACGGTTCAGATACATATATATTCCTTAGTTAGGAATCAATCAATGACACAGTTCTAATGTCAAGCAATCTTAAAGTCTCACATGTAGTAGTGCCCCTAGTGTACATGTAAAATTAACAACTGCCTGAGAGCATCCACATTGATAAGGTGTATATGGAAGTGTATATAAAATATACACATTTGGTTGCCGGAATGTCCTGCAATGGGGAGATGTATATGGCTGTAAATGTACATCACAACTATGAGATGGGAAAAAAGATACAAATGTACATTTAATTTTACACCCAGTCAAGTGGGTCCTGTAACAAAAAAACCAAGAGAGAGGAGAGAGGAAAGCTACCTAAAAGACGGGGAAGTTATTAAAATGATGCAAATGTACAAAAAGTTCTTCTCCAACAACTTTCTAATGTATGGTCGTATTTCATTCAAATTGAAATATGAAACTAACAATTACATTGATCATTGGTGAAGAATAAATTCATATCAAAGTTGACGGTTCAAATTAATTTTATATTACATCATATTTAAATGAAATTATATCTTATAAGAATTTTAATATTTTTACGTCGATTTGTTTAAAAATAATAATTAAACTTAACACACACAAAATTAATAATATGAACATAAAAAAGAATTAACACAAAAAACGAATTCATATAAGAAAATCGGATTTACATCTTTGAATTTGCATCCAACTCATTGGAGCAAAAATGACATTTACATCTCCCGGAGGTGTAAAAGAGATGTAAAAGTGACTTTACACCTTCGAATTTACACCTCTCCACTGTGGATGCTCTGAGAGCAACGCCAATGAAGCCAACGGAAACAAATTATATATTATAGACAGGAGGATACGGGCCAATCTTTCATTTGTATTAATTATTTATGAGTAGTTATGCATGATCAAGAACAACTAGTCAAAGGAGTGAGAACTAGTACTACCGGTTGGCTGATGGATATAGATAGATAGATGAGTGAGTGTTCCGACAATCAACACACCTGAAAATCGAATGGACTGAGGAAAGGCAAATAATCACCAATGTTGACTGCCCCTATCAACAACATGATCTCCTCAATAATTCCCTTCACATCAAACGTATCATCATTTTTGCTCCCCAACACCGTCCTATACGTTATGTCCTCAATCAGCTCACCAACCTTCTCACTAAGATCCACCACTTGGCCCTCCGCTGCGGCTTTCTTCAGCGACTCAACCAACAAACCTACCTCTTCCCTCCTCAATGGAGCAAAAGTCTCAATCTTTGATGAACAAGAAGCTGCAGCGTGCACAACTTCCTAATATGCTGCCTGTACGGACCATATTCACTGAAAACCATGTCCTTTGTGCCGTAAAACAAGTAGTCGGAGGATTGGACTTTGGGGCGGCTGGCAAAAATGGTATCATGGGATTTCAAGAATAACTCTGCAGCTTCAGGGGATGAGACCACTATGGTGGCTTTGGTGCCTAGACGCATGGACATTATGGGTCCATATTTTTTGGCCAAGTCTCGGAGGCTGCGGTGTGGGAAGTTGCCTAACATATGGAGATTACCAATGACTGGCAGCGCCCAAGGACCAGGAGGTAGTTTCCGGTGTCTCGGCCTCTGTATGAGAGACCAGAGGAAGGTAAGAAAGAGGAGGATAGCTATAGCTGAAGCAGTCATTCTGGCTTTCTGTGGTGTGAGAGAGAGTGTCGGCGGTGGACATACATTTGCTCATAAGAGCAACTCCACCCATTTGCCCTTTGCCATGGCAGGGGAGTTAGGGCAGCCACTATTCACGTGAATAGTAGTTGCCCTTGCAAATAGTATTTTGTGTTTCCACCTGTTGCCATGGTTAATGGCAATTACTATTCATTTTTTTGTTTTTTTCACAAATTTTTTTACCTCAATAATTAATTCGGATAAGATTTTCGGGTTCATACGTGTCAAAACTATTCATAATCGGATAAAATTTCCGGATAAGATTTTTGATCTCAAATTTCGGATGAATTTCAAAATTCAAAATTCAGATAAATTTCAAATTTCGGATGAATTTCAAATTTCAGATAAGATTTTCATCCAATCAATTCAAGCCACGTGGCATCTCTATCTGGCCAAAATTTTCGATAGAAGAAGCCATAAATATAAGAAATAAAAATACAATTTGAAAGAGAGGAAAATGTTGAGTAAAGAGTGAATAATAGTAGAAGTAGAAGAAAATGTATGAGGATTGGTGTTGAAAGTGAAGGGTATTGAAAGGTATTTATAGAAAAAAAAAATTCAGAATATTTTGGTATTTTTTTAAAAAAAATTGATTTTTTTTCATAATTTTATTGCCAAAAAAAATGCCAGCCGTTGGATTGGAGGAGAGAAGCAGATCGGAGCGCCCAAGGCTTGACAGCTGGCTTCTACCCGTTGGAGCTGGCACAGGGCTGACGTCAGGGCACGCGAGTTCAAATTTTTTTTACTGTTGGTGCGTGCATTGCACGCACCAACGGTAAAAAAAAATTGAAGCGCGTGATAACGTCGCGCTTGACGTCATCAGCCCTCGGTTTGGGTCTCGGGCGAAACTGCCATTCGGGCCAACCCGTCTTCATGGGTCCCACTCCCAACCTGGACTTGGGCTCCTCGCTGGAACGTCATTTTTTTTTTGCACCCTCTTCCTCTGCAGACTAATAGGGATAATTATCCAGATGTGACCTCCACGCCTCCTAGTGGCTCGTCT